TCATTCAATATCTAAAAACTCTAATGGCTAACATAGGGGATCTTTATTGTTAATCAACACACTAAGTATGTGTTAGTGTGTTCTAACAATATGTGTGTTGCATGTGTGTGAGTGATCAATGCTTGTACAAATTTCTAAGCAAAGAAAATATAAAATTACATTTTGATAATAAAGTATATCTTCTTCTTTGTTTTATTTTGCCTTGAACTCATCTATGTCTTGAGTATCTCTTTGAATATAATTATTGATATAGCTCTGAAACTGCAAAACAAATGTTAAAATATAATACACACAACATATAATATTTGTTATCATCAAAACAAACTAATCTTGGGGTCAAGATTCCTAATAGTTTCTACCCCTTATTCTACAAGGTCATGTTTGGAACCTGATTCGGGAGTAGATCTATTACCACTAGTGTGAGAAAGATGTACCCCACTAAGATTAGGACTGTGAAATTGTGGAGCCAAAGTTAGAGAATTCAGCATGTTCGTATATTACCCCAGATTATGGTGCATTAGAAAGTAGCTACTATCATGGAATGACATGTTCGAGTATGCTTGAGGTGGTTGTACAAAGTACGACTGCTGAAATGAAAAATACTCACCATCGCCGTGATGCACAGACTGAGGGGGTTGAGGTGGTAGGGAAGGTGATGGAACTACCCCCTTGCCTTTTTGATTATCTTTCCCACTCAATGATGTATTATCAGCCATTACTAATTAAATAGAGAAAATTAGATAACTGAAAAAGTAAAACATGAATATATGAATTAAAAACAGAACGATATTAATGGAAATAGAGTTATTGAGTACATGTGAACGACCATAAATAAAACATAAATAAAAATTAATTCTCTATGGTTACACCCTGATTATACTTATCACAGTAGTCCACCCATATCGCCCAAACAATGTCATCCCTAAGTATCTTCCACTCATTTCTTGATTCAGTTTTCTCTCTTTGGGTTTAGTTTTGAGTAAAATCAACTAAATTAGTGTCATTCTTAAAGGCCATCTCACCATCAATGTCTTCATTAAATTTATCGTCGTTGAATAGTTCATCACTTAGATTCACAATTTTAATAAAATTATGGAGTACTGTGAATGTCAATACGATATCTACTTGTATAGGAAAAGGATAATGCAGCTTAGCACACAAAATCTTGAAATGATTCTTTAATGTACCAAATGCAGATTCAATCTTAGACCTCAATAAAAAATATCTTAGATTGAATAATTCCCTTCTATTCTTAGGTGTTTTACTCGAATGTTCTTTCAAATGATATCGAACACCTCGGTATAGAGAGATGAATCCTGGCATGGTTGGGTACCCAACATCACACAGATAGTATTTGCCTACAATTTTATTAAGAAAATTATTAAGTCAAGTTTGAATAATAAACTTAATAAAATTTAAGTTAAGTCTTTATTTAATTACCATCATAGACTCTCAATCCATATGGTTATGATCTAGACAATACATCCTGAAGAATCCTATAATCATTTACAGACCCCTCCTAACCTGCTAGAACATATGTGAACAACTTGTTTGGGGTGCAAGCTGCAAGCACATTCTGTGTAACACCTTTGCGGCCTCGAAAACATGCAACAAGATTAATCTAAAGCATAGCATCAACATGAGTCTCATCTATCATTCTAATACAATCCTGTAATACGTGTATCACACATCTAAATTAAAATTTACTTTTATTGATTATACATTTAAATGTACTTAAAGTGTAGATATACCTTGAAATAAGGGAATTATAGCGGGTTGTTAACGATCTCTTAGGGAATGTCATTGGGGGCTTGTCTCATGTACCGTCCACGCAGACAAATAATTGTTTATAATACCTTGTTAAAATATCTACTAACTATCTCCCCTGATCTTATAAAATAAGATCTGACTATGCGATTTTTAGATTTATGATCCAGAATGTTCAGTGTCATGATAAGTTGTTCTTCCACTATTACATTCCTTGAGTCTTTTAGCAGGCTATTGTTCCTCATTATACTCCCTAGTTTAACAAAAATATCACTCCGCATTCTAATATAATTCACGCAACCACCATTAAAACCATTATAAATTCGCTCTATATGCTCAATTCTAGCTCTCTCTTGTCTTTTTTTCCTTATTTGGACCACTACGAATTGATTTATGTCTTTCTTACGTTCTCTTTATGACAGTAATTATTATAATTAGAACAGATAGGGCAGCACCTTGAACCATATTAACAACACTTTATTCATCGGAACAATCACTATCTTTATCCATCTACAATGTAAAAAAACATTATCCAGTTAGAAACTAAGTCGAATTCTAACAACTATGAACAAATTACAAATTACAAATTATAATTTACAATTTACGAATTACTAACATAGATTACTGTAATATCTAAGCAAAAAATATTACAGTGACATAAATACATTTATAAATAACAAAAATATGAACTTTTAACTCCTAAAATGAGAAAAATTACATTAACAACATGCTATATTAACATTTTCATACTATCTAATAATCATATAATTAAAAAAACCACAAATTGATCTTCAATGTGTCAGTTGAAAGTTCCATGTAAAAATTTGGTTTCTTAGCTATAAAATCCACTTTTTAGTCCAAGTTCCTCACTTCTCTAAATGTTGAAAGTTCCAAACAATGACAAATTACATTAACAACACGCTGACATTGGTTAAAATTATAATATGGATACTATATACTAATTCAAGAACAAGAATCACTTAATTTCAGAACTTTTCACATGAATAGTCAGGAAATCTTAGGAGCAGACCATGCACATTTCATTGGAGAACCTTCCTAATTCTCCTGCGAGGTTAAGAAATTATTAGTATATCTACACGTTCTTTGATCAGAGCTAGCCCCTTTTGCGTTATAAAAAAATAACATGGATAAGTATTAAAGAAAGCCCTAGATGAAGATCAACTCTGTAACATATCAGAGTTTTATTATTCAAGTATGCTAAATATATCAAAATGTCATCTAATCGCCACTGTAGTTTTCGTGGAAAAAGACATACAAACAATGCATTAGAAATTTCTCAAAACCCATCAAAATAATGCTAAAAAACACATTCTAAAATCGTAGAAATTTTATGAAATTTCAAAATTTTCTCCATGATTGGATATTCGAAGGTTTTTAATCATCTTTTCTTATCTGTGAAATCTCAAAAAAATAGGAAAATCAGAAAAATTGCTTTGAAAATCAAAAAAATTGTGTCAGCAAAAGATCAGACCCCCTCCCCCAAATTCTTAGATAATTGCTATAAATTAAACTAATAACAAGAAAATAAAAAAAATTATATTTTTACCTTGATTTATGAAGCAACAGCATCGGCAAAGATCAAATCTGAATATTGTCGGCAAAGATCAGACCCCCCCTCCCCTAATTTTTTTAATATAGGGACAAAGAAGGTCACGAGAGTTTCTGGCAGGAGGAGAGCAAGGAGGTAAGTATAACTCGCCGAAGAAATCAACAAGGAAAGCAAAAAGCCGATGTGGCTGTAATTTTCGTCTATTTCACGAGGTTGAGAAAGGAATTGGGGGGAGAGAAAAAAACTTATGTGGCGGCGATATTTCCCCCGTTTCCCTTCTTCAACCCTAGCGAACCAAAGAGGAGAAAAAACCGACGGAAAACTTATATCCAACATGGCCACGAAAAATCCTATGTAGAGAGGGTGTAAAACTTTTCCAAGGAGTTAAAAAGCGAACCAAACAGCCCCTAAACGTAAAGTTATTCGTACACTCTGCAGGTGTTATAATCTTGTCTTTTTAGTATTATATACATGATTTAAATATTTTCGGAAGCTTATCTAAAAAAATTATCTTGAAAAGGGTTTTTACATAAAAACCATCTTAATGTTTGTCCAAATTAATAATTATTATGTTTGGTTTTTTAAACCAAATCACCTATATTCGCTAATATGTTTGTAATGTCACACTTTTTTTAGAAGCCTGAAATGCAAACTTTACCCCTCTTCTCTGTCTCCACCTTCTCCCTTCCCTCCCATCTTTCCCTCCTCGTCCTCCTCTACTTTCTTACCTCTCCTCTTGCTCTCCCCTCCTTTATCTCCTCCATCTCTAGGATTTCTCCAAACCCTAACCTTTTTCTCCTCTCCCCCCTCTCCACAAATGACCCCTCTCCAACTCCTCTCTTCCCTCGCCTCTTCCCATTTCTCTCCTCCTCCATCTCCTCCACTACCTTCTCCACTTATCGGGTTTCTCTAAACTCTAACACCTCCCCCACTCCCCGCCCCGCCCTCCCCTCGTCCTCCTTTGTTCTCACTTCCCTCACCTCATTCCTCTCCTACTTCCTCCCTCTCACTCTCTCCACTCTCGCTACTGACATCCTCTTCTCCTCAATCTTGTATTTGTTTTCTCTCTTGGGTTAGATTGGGGAGTATAATATAAACTTCAAAATAAAATTAAACAGAATGTAGTAAAAAGTGTGACACTACAAACATGTTAGTAAATGTAGGTTATTTTAATTAAAAATAAATAAATAAAAATAAAGCTCATATATGTAAATTTAGATAAAAATTAATATGGTTTTGATGTAAAACTCTTTTTGAAAAGTAGAAATATATACGTGGAATCTCGTAGCAAATCGTTGGAATGGAACGTTAGTCCGTGGAGCATAAAAGAAAATTAAAGACCCCTTCGGACCAAAAGTGTTAAGGGCCCTTCCTTTGGGGCCCAAAAGTTAAAGCCCAAGATGAGGCGGTTTCGTGTTCTAAACTCAACACCAGATCAAATCCCCAAAACCAAAACGAAAGAGCCAGACGACGGACCCAAAAAAAAAAACCAAAGGACCCGCTCCAGAAATCGTCAAAGTCGTCCGCCGAGTTACAGAACAATCTAGATCTCAATCTCCACCGTCCAATACCACATCTCCCCATCCAACGGTCTACATCCCACCCCAGAGCTCAGCAGCTTCTAGATCCTTCGTGACTCCTCTAAAATCCTTCTCCCCCTTCTCGCCTCTACCCCTCTTAAATTCCCGTCTCCGGAGAGCGCGAGGGCCCAAATTCAGGTAAAATTTCTAGGGTTTGCTCCATCGAATCTCTCTCGCAAATTAGGGTTCCGATCTCGATCGAAGATGTTCGGGAGGGCGCCGAAGAAGAGCGACAACACGAAGTACTACGAGATCCTCGGGGTCTCGAAGAACGCGTCGCAGGACGATCTGAAGAAGGCTTATAGGAAGGCTGCGATCAAGAATCATCCTGACAAGGGAGGCGATCCTGAGAAGGTGATTGTTGATCTCTGATCTTCATTGATGTTTGGCGTTTTGATTTTTGATTTTTTTTGGGGTTTAGATCTGCTCAGATTTGATGGAAATTATGTTTTTTTTTTCATGGAGTTGGGATTGATTAGTAACGACTTGATATATTGGATTAGAATTATCCAAGAACGCATCTCTTCTTTCTTCTAGCATGCAAGGAGGTATCTTTTTATTCGGACGTGATAAGATGTCGTCAGTTCATAGCTTTAGCTGGTTCCTAATATTATTTATAGGGATATACAAGCCACCTAATTCATACTGAAATTTAAAAAGAAATATGAAGACCCCCTTTTGTCACTCTGTGTATTGGAACCATGTTTATCCACCCCCCCCCCCCCCCCCCCCCCCCCCCCCCACCAAAATGAAGAAAGTATCAAATTCTAAGGAGACCACCGTGAATAATATTGGTCCGCAGCTCTTTATTAATGCACGTTGGGGTTGTGACCCAAATTGCCTGGTATTACATGCATGTAGCAGAAAGCAATGTAGATATGAACACAGATAATTTGTCGTCGATGATATATGTTTAGATGCCCTTATCGCTTCTTGCCAAGTTGGAAATCCATCTGAAAAAGCGCATGGAAACTTCGACAAGTTTTGAGACTCAAATGTAACATGCGTTTTTGCTGGATTATTCTTGTGCTTGCGTGTTGGATTCTTATAACGAAACCTTTTTATAGACCTTCGCACAAAGCCTAGAAAGATAAGTTAGGAAAACCAACTTAATTTTCAACTTGTGAGGAGAGAGTAAGTAAATAATTTAAAAACATGTTCTTGGACCCTTAAAAGGAAAAACACCTTAAAAAATAATTGAGTTCCCAAACATGCTCTTTAACTCCTAATGGTCTATATTGTGTTTCATCAAATTTTTAGTGCGACAATTTATGGAAAATTATGATTGATTACTTAATATTAATATTGAAAGGTATAAAATGCTTATGGGACGTTCCTCGTTCTTCATGTGATGGTAAAATCTTCCCATTTGCGGGGTTTTTTGGACTTTGCATGATATCATTCTTTAATGCACTGGGCAAAAAATTCTGCACTAATGATGTGTCAGAATGAGAATTTTGTGACCAAGCCTCTTTTTTCTTTAGAATTTAATGGCTTTTGATGTATGTACTTTAAGCTGAGTCCTTTCTTCTGAGAGTCCTTCCGTTAATGCCATAGTTTGCAAGCCCTTAGATATTAGTTTTGGCACTATACTTTTGTTCTGTTTGGTTTATATTGCATAATTGTGTTTCTGGTGTATCTTACTTGTTCTTCATGTTGTAGTTATGTGGCTGTGTTGATTAGGTCATTCATTGTGCTTTTCCTTTCAAGATTATTTCAGCTTGTTCGGATATCTTAAGTTTGTGAATCATACATTGTTTCAGTTTAAGGAGCTGGCTCAGGCATACGAGGTATTGAGTGACCCTGAAAAGCGTGAGATATATGATCAATATGGCGAGGATGCCCTCAAGGAAGGAATGGGTGGTGGTGGTGGCCATGACCCATTTGACATCTTCCAGTCCTTCTTTGGTGGAAGTCCCTTTGGAGGTGAGGAGGCTTAGGTTCCTCCTGGTTTCGTTTCTCTTGTTCTTTTCATCTTTTTCTGTTCTTAATTCTTTTTTTATGATCAGGAGGTGGCAGCAGCCGGGGCCGCAGGCAGAGGAGAGGAGAGGATGTCATCCATCCTTTGAAAGTTTCTCTCGAAGACCTTTACAATGGAACCTCAAAGAAGCTCTCCCTCTCTAGAAATGTTATCTGCTCAAAATGCAAGGGGTAAGATTTTTTTTCCTCACGTTGCGACTGTCATCAATGATTTAATTGGCAGTTCTCAGCGGTTTAACATCTTTGTTTCTTTATTTGCAGGAAGGGATCCAAATCTGGCGCTTCAATGAAATGTCCAGGTTGCCAAGGTTCTGGCATGAAGGTATCCATTCGTCAGTTGGGTCCTGGCATGATCCAGCAGATGCAGCATCCTTGCAATGAATGTAAAGGAACTGGGGAGACGATTAATGACAGGGACAGGTGCCCACAGTGCAAAGGGGAAAAGGTTGTGCAGGAGAAGAAAGTGTTGGAGGTGGTTGTGGAGAAAGGGATGCAGAATGGTCAGAAGATCACTTTCCCTGGAGAAGCAGATGAAGCGGTAATTTTCATTGTTCCCTGTGATATTATTAGCATGTGTATCTGTGTTATTCCTGGGGTGCTGACTTACAGTTTTCATGGCTGCAGCCTGAGTGCGTCACAGGTGACATAGTGTTTGTCCTCCAGCAGAAAGAGCATCCCAAGTTCAAGAGAAAGGGCGACGATCTCTTCTATGAGCATACTCTCTCTTTGACTGAGGCTCTCTGTGGCTTCCAGTTTGTGCTGACACATCTTGATAACCGGCAGCTGCTCATTAAGTCTAATCCTGGCGAGGTCGTCAAGCCAGGTGAGCATCTAAGCACAACAACCGTATACTTATCCTTTTAAGATTTTGGGATGGGTAAATTTCGAAGGGTTTTGCACGAAACCCTCATGAATATGAATCATAGGAAGTCTGTTTGCACATTCGAACGTATAGTAAAAACCCCGCTGGACTGACCCTAAACGAGAAGGGTGAACTGGCCCTAAACATGAAGGGTGAAAGGTCGGTGAAGTCTAAACCATTTTGCCTGAAAAGGATAATCTAGAAGACATACTTAGTAGATGAGGGTATCATCAGGTGACAAGCAACTGTCATCTGTCGTAGTAGCACATCAAACGAGTTGCCCTTTTATGATTTTATGCTGGGTAGACTTCAGGGGGTTTGTGCATAAGACCCTTATGAATATAAATCGTAGAACGTCTCAGGACTTTCACCAAATAGAGTAGAACTCTTTGAGTGAACTATTTACTCCAACAGGTTTTTAATTTTAATTTTAATTTAATTTAATTTTTATAACATAATCTTACCAAGAACGGCTAATATATGAGTTAATAGATAATGGTATCGTGTGATAACTGGAAGTGGTAACTTTCGTCAGTCATTATTTCTTAGACAAGCTCTTTAAGGTATTTTTTCTATGATTCATATGTATGTGGTTCAAAGCGTTTTCTGCAAATACCTGTTGAAGTTCAGTAATGTGTTGAGATACCCTTTCCCCATTGTGGCTTTCAGATCAATTCAAGGCCATCAATGACGAAGGAATGCCAATGTACCAGAGGCCGTTCATGAGAGGAAAACTCTACCTCCACTTCACCGTTGACTTCCCAGATTTCCTCTCTCCTGAGCAGTGCAAGGTGATCGAGACTGTGCTTCCTCCAAGGACTTCATCTCAGCTCACCGACATGGAGCTTGATGAATGCGAGGAGACGACGATGCATGATGTCAACATAGAGGAGGAGATGAGGAGGAAGCAGGCACAAGCTCAGGAGGCCTACGATGAGGATGAAGATACGCATGGCGGTGCTCAGAGGGTGCAGTGCGCTCAGCAGTAGAAACACCGTGATAATTGTAGTGCTAGACTTGTGCGTTGGGGGCTGATGCTAGGTGCTGCACGGTGACCTTATAGGGACCGCATACTATTTGTTTTCCTAATGATAAATGATCTTTTAGTTTGATGCCTGTGTTCATTCTTCATATACGCCCGTGGCCTCGTATGGACCTGGGACTGTTTTTTTTTTTTGCCCTCCTTAGTGGTCTTCGTTTCGACACCTGTTTTCTTTCTTAATAATGCTCTAGTTACAGGGCGAGATGAAAGGGTGACGGTTATTTATGTGGTTTTCTTGATGCTTAATTTGATGTTATTGTGGTAATTGGCGGCCCGTGATGCGTAACGCTAACTGTGTCACCGTCGTTTAAATTATTCTCATACGGATACACGTCTCCATAGAATGACTCTTGATGACTCGTTGAATTGGAGAAGCCAAATAAAATAAAATAAAAAGTTAAAAAGAAAAGAAAAAGAGTTCTCTCTTGCAGGATGGAAGCAAATTTTAGACTTTATGTCGTATGTAATCTCTCGTCTTCTCAGTTATTGATGTTGTGGAGCTTTTCGTTTACGATCAGAGATATGAGAGCATAACTCTTATCAAATGGGACGCGAAAACAGTCAGACGAAATAGATTTAGCTTCTACTCGAGCTCTAATAGATTTTCGGTGTTCTTTAGGGTATCTCTAACAGCTTCTTCAAAAAAAATTTCAAAATGATGAAGCAAAAGTCATATTCTCCAAATTACGTTTTGAGAGAGTATAATTCATTGTCCTCGTCAATCTCCCTTGCCATCCCTCTGCATCACCTTTAAACTTCACTCGCCCAAAGAACACGTTTTGAGTATAAAATTCACATCTTTTGTTATAGTTACGAGCTTTGTACGCGTTGCATCCCCAGAGATTGTTATCATCTTTAGACGTAGCTGCATAAAAAAAAAAAAAAAAAAAGGCCAAAATAAAAAAAAAGC